TGAGCTGACTTCACACCTTGCTATCTGTTCAGTTATATCCTGACACCTTGTGTCCATAGTCAGAATAGCAGAATTTAAACAATTTATTTCTCCATACAGATCATTGCTATAATTAGTAGTAAATCTTATGCTTGAATATCTGTTCGTGCAATTATTGGTGAATCACATTTATTTTTTGTGCATATAGAGCATATAACACCATCCATTTAATAATTAATGGTAATATCTGTCACCAGGACTTTGTTGATAATGTAAGTCACAGCCTTACTAAGCCACATGAAATGCACATGGGATGCAATGATGTCAAGCTCGTACAAAACAAGCAGCCTAAATGTGCTCTGAAACCCGGTATATACAGTGCATCACTGGAGATCTTGTATGCCACTCATCACTGGGAGAATCGATGTGAAATCTTTAACACAGTGGTTGCCAAGGTTTTGCCAGCATCATGGAACAGAATGTCAGACTTTATATGTGGAGACAGGATGTTGACTGTCTTACTGAGCACTCATTCTTCAATCCCAGGATTGTGCTTAATTGGCTCACCAGTTTTAAAGAAGTACTTTGCGACAGTCTCCATGGCATTGTACACATATTGTCTTTGCAGGACCTGTTGAGGATAAAGTTTATCTACTTATAGTTGATGTCCATTAAAAACATCCTGAAATATCAAGGGCACCCACCGCAGTTACTGCAACAATTGCCACATTTCAGCATTTTATCTCTGCCTTTTGTCTTTCATTAGAAAGGCATAGAAAGGTATAATGGAACTCAATTTTATTTAGAACTCAAAGCTTTCTTGAAAACAAATGAAAATGTTAAAAGGTTCATGGCTACATTTAGTCAAATAAAAGCATTATCTAGCTGTAAACATAAGAAACATCCATGACGTCTCATCACATTACACAACAATAGCAGAGGCCTCTACAGACATGTTTGCATTTCTATTGGTTTGGCTGATCAATAAAAAAATGCAAGTCGACTTATTTAAACTAAATCAATGTATTTTAGAGGGAGGAGATGAAGTTATTTTGGATCATGAATATATTTAGTGACAACTGTTGATGGTAAGGAGAACATGAGTCATGTCAATCAACTATGACCAGTTGGCTTAAGAGGAATCTGTCAGGGCAAACTTCTTTTATAGGACATCCTAGAAGACATTTGGGTTGATCAGTTAACTGTAAATCTGGAAGCAGATAGGGCAGAGTTGGCAACAAATGTTCATAAACAAGAGTTACCAAATCACAGAGACCAGCCTGGACCTATGTCTACCAAATGAGTCCACTTATATTTATTTATAGCAGTAGTAAAAACTTGTGGGAAGTTAAATAGGAAGTGATACTTGTAGACAGAAGAAGAATTTAAATGGATGGATTGGGAACATAGGAAATGGAAGCTGAAACATGTATGGTGTAGGATCTTGTTTCCAATAATGTACAATTGTAGACCTTCAGAATTGTAGAATCTTTTATCTTTTTTCCCTTTGAAAATGTTTTAAAAATAAAATATATTTCTTTCAAAATCCTGGATGGAAATTTTGTGACTAACTGACTAACATCTCAACAAAGTGGTCTGAGTGCAGTGACCCTGCCTTTTAAACCCTACATTTTAAAATATTGTTTTTTTAGAATCTGCATTGTTTACATTTCAGGGTTAAATCCACCTCTAATGCCTGCCTTCCTGACAGCCATTAGAGGCACTTCTGAAGCATTGTACAAGAAAAACCCCGTCATGCAGTGGCGTACTAAGGGGCGGCGACGTGGAAGGGCAGTCCGCCCAAGGTACCAACCACTAAGGGGATGCCTAGGGCGCACTTTGACAGTGGCGGCATTTTGCCTTCCCTGTGTCTTATGTAAAGGGACCGGGCCGCTTACAAGAGTCTCCAGGCTCGTTTCACATCCAGCAGCAGCAGGTCCTCTGTTCTTGCGATCCGCGAGAGCGTTGTTGCTGCAACGCTCAGAATCCCGCGAGAGGAACCCGGCGGAGTTACTGGCAAGAGCTCCCCGGGTCCTCTCCTGCCTCCATCCCTGCCTGTGGGTCGGTGGGGAGGGAGGCTGAGAGCAGAGCCGGCGCTCGGATAGCGCCGGATCTGCATGAGCCAACAGGGGAGATCCTGAGATCTCCCCTGCCGTTCTCAATATACATAGGCATGCCGCGGGGATTAGGGTGTGCCCAGGCACACCCGGCACACCCCGTGCGCACGCCTATGGCCCCGAGTACATACTTAGTGTTAAAGCAGAGTAGGCACCTGCTTTCTCCACATTGCAGGTGCCTACTCTGCTAAAATTTACCCAGCCGGGGGAGAGGGGGAGAGGTTGCTGGCTGCAGCAAGGGAGGTCAGTCTTCCTGCTCCTCACTGCTCCCTCGCACGCGCCGTCTGTAGTGATACCGGGTGCCGGAATATGACATCATATTCCGGCACCCAGCATCACTAAACTGCCTGCGTGAGGGAGTAGTGAGCAGCAGGAAGGAAATCTCCAGATAGAAGATCCCCACTGGACCCCAGGGATAAATACAATGATGTAAGTGTGTGCAAGAATGTGTAATTGTGTTTGTGTGTCTGTCAGTGTGTGTGTGTGTCTGTCAGTGAGTGTATGTCTGTCAGAGTGTGTGTGCGTCTGTCAGTAAGTGAATGTATGTCAGTGAGTGAGTGTATGTCTGTGTGTGTGTCAGTGAGTATGTGTCTGTCTGTGTGTGTGTCAGTGAGTGTCTGTGTCTCTGAGTGTGTGTGTCTGTCAGTGAATGTGTGTGTCTGTCACAGTGTGCCAGTGCGTGAGTGTGTGTGTGTCAGTGAGTATGTGTCTGTCTGTGTGTGTGTGTGTGTCAGTGAGTGTCTTTGTCTGTCAGTGAGTGTATGTGTTAGTGAGTGTGTGTGTGTCTGTCTGTGTCTCTGAGTATGTGTGTCTGTCAGTGAATGTATGTGTCTGTCTCATTGTGTGTGTGCCTGTGCTAGTGAGTGAGTGTGTTTGTCTGTCAGTGAGTATGTGTGTTTGTTAGTGTGTGTTTGTCTGTCTGTGTGTGTGTCAGTGAGTTTCAGTGGTCTGTCAGGGAGTGTGTCTGTCAGTGTGTGTGTGTGTGTCAGTGAGTGTCTGTGTATCTGTCAGTGTGTGTGTCAGTGACTGTGTGTGTCGGTCAGTGTTGTGATGGCTGCGGCTGGACAATGGAGCACCTGGAAGTGCACAAAGGCATGCAATGCCACATCACATTGCAACGTGACATCGATGTGCTCCACCTTCACAGTGTTTCAAGAAGTAGCAGGAGGATCCGCTTTGGCACAGGGTGTGGACGGCGCCATTTAGGGTATACCAGAGGCCGGACTCTGGAGTCGCATACTGGCCGCCGCAATGCGAGTGGAGTATGCTTGTTGGCCAGAGGGGGGAGTTGGGATTTAGTAGAGGGGGGACTGGGATTTAGCAGAGGGGGGTGCTGTGGTTTAGTAGAGAGGGATTCCGGGGTATTTTTATACTGTACTTTTCAAAATAAACCTACCTTTCTATGAAAATTTAAGTTTTAGGGTTTTTTTTTGCAGCCCACATAAATTTAAACCTTGTTTATTTGGCCCGTGGTAGACTTTGAGTTTGACATGCTTGCACTACATACACTATACAGACACACACAAATAAACCCACACTTAGACATGTGTGTCTGTGTATCTGTATGTCTGTGTATCTGTATGTGTGTTTGTATACGTGTATCTGTATGTGTCAGTGTATGTATGTGTCACTGTATGTGTGTCTGTTTATCTGTTTGTGTGTCTGTGTTTGTACGGTGTGTCTGTGTATCTGTAACTATATGTGTGTTTGTATCTGTGTGTCTATCTGTATGTGTGTCAGTGTTTGTCTGTATCTGTGTATGACTGTGTTTCTATGCATCAGCATGTGTGTACCTATGTGTCTGTGCCAGTGTAAGCATCTGTGTGTCTATCCATCTGCATGTGTGCCAGTGTATGTATATGTGAGTATATGTGCATACATCTCAACATTTCGCCTACACTACATACAAATACAACCCTGCATCCAAATGTCAACACTACATAAAAACACACCAAAATATTAAAAACCCACACTACAGAAAAATGCATGCCTACATTCAAATGCCATCAATACATGCAAACACACCCATACAGTCACTCACACACACATACTCCATACAAAAACATGCTTACATTCAAACACACAAACACTGCTCAGTGCTAAATACATGTAATTTTTTTTGTCATAAACACAAACAAACATGCTTCTCTGTTTTAATATTTGACCATTTTCATTGTTACATCACTGTACATTAATACATCTTTACACGGCATCCAGCATCCAATGGGTAACAACAAGTTCGGCCTCATTGTTTTACAAGAAGACTTTCCACATTTTTAGGTATGCAAGCCCATCTCATGCGGAGATATATTATGGATCTGTGCAATTCTGGCAATGCAAAGTGTACACGTAAGTGAAGAGTGGACATAGAAAAACAAACAAATTATACATATTATACAAATTATGCAACTTATACAAACTATAAAGTAACAGAAATCAGAATGTGTATAGGACTTCACTGCAGGTTATCTATCTAGTGTACCCACGCTCTAGTACAGGATCGTGGATAGGGTCCACTGACGTATGCTCATCATCTGTGGTTGGGTACCTTGTTTGGTCTCTTGCCTGAACTATATGGCTTTATAGTTTTGTGCTGGTATATCTTTTGCCAATTGGCCCAAATGCTATTAAAGATTTTGGTTATACCATGTAGTCTATGGGACATTTCTTCGTGGAGTCTGTTGGAATCGAACATCTCCATCACCATTGCAATATTTTGGGGGGTTTTAGATTTCCTGCTTTTAGTGGCTATAAGTACCTGGATAATATGCGAACTGTCTGGTTTAGTTAAGTTGTTGGGTAACATGTGTAAAAGGTATGTTTCAATTTGCAATGGCAATGAGACTCCGCCAGGCTATGTATTAAGGCTCGTATTGCCTCCCAGAATTGTTTAAGTATGTTACAGTGCCAGAACACATGCCCCATGGTTCCCACCTGGCTCTCACACCTCCAACACTTAGAAGAGAAATTTACAAACATGTGGGCCAACCTATGAGGGGTCAGATACCATTTCATCCAGACTTTGTAGGATGCTTTGAGGTGGTCATGGCAACGTGTTGCCTGTTTTGTATGTATGTCTCATAGCCTTTCACAATTGATTTGTGTGTTTAGTTCCTTTTCCCATGTAGGGGAACTTCACTGGTTTTGTAGTGTCCTGAATTGCGCTATAACATAGTGCCAGAAGCTTAGAATGTCTTACTAGTGGTTCTTGGGCGAGAATAAAAAAACGGAGGAAGCGGGTTTCACTGTCGGGTGCCATTGGTTAGGCAGGAGGGTCTGGACAGGAAACCTGTGTTTAGTACTTTGGCTGAGGGGTTGGTGTATAGGGCTAACATAGCTTGTAGGAATTTGGATGGGAAGCCAAATTTGTGGAGAACTTCCTTCATGTAACCCCAAAGTAGACAGTCAAAAGCTTTTTCGGCGTCCAGCACCACCAAAAGCCCCGCTTCTCCCTGTCTCCATGAGGTCCATAAAGCATCTGGTGTTGTCCCCTGCCTGGCGACCCGGTACAAACCCCGCATTTTCCCTGGCTACCAGTGAGGGCAGCAATGGTTTTATGCGATTGGCCATAAGTTTGGCAAATATTTTTGTGTCTGAATTCAAGAGCGAAATCGGGTGGAAGTTTTCCCATTTGGTGGGTGGTTTGCTTGGTTTAGGTAGTGTGATATTTGCCTCCAGCATTTTGAGCGGCATTTTGCCCATCGCCATTATATCGGCTGTCATTTGAAGCACAAGTATAACTGCAAAGGTCTGGTAGTAATTGTTAGAAAGACCATCTGGTCCTGATGCCTTGTGTTTGAGCAGTGATTTGATTGTCTCATGGATCTACTCTGTGGTGAAGGAGGCGCCTAGTGCCATCAAGTTAGCGTCAGCCAAACTTGGGAGGTCAGTGTGTTGTAGGAATTTTGCTATATTTTCATCTGTAGTCTGTACTACATCCTTACAATCTTTCAGGTTATAAAGAGTTTCGTAGAAGTTTGCAAATTCGTTAAGAATATGCATCGGATTAGATATTTTAGTTCCTTGTTTGTTGTATATGGACAATATTTTGGTTTGTTCGTATTTAGCTTTCAGTTGTGAAGCTAGTAATTTGCCCGCCTTATTTCCCTGGGAATAGTATGTGTACTTTAATTTACGCATATGTCTCCCAATGCTATGTAAGTGCTGACTGTTTCACTTGGTCCTCACTTGTGTGAGCTTGTTACCTAATTTCTTTGTTGGGTTTTGTTTGTGTAACGTTCCAATTCCTCCTTATTTGGTGTTTAAGGGAGTCTGTCTTCGCCTGCCATTCCTTCTTTGCCCTAGCTCCTGTCTGTATGAACAGTCCTCTCATGAATGCCTTATGGGCTAGTCATCTGGTGCTTGTTGTGATTTGAGTCTGTGAATTTTCCTCTAGCTACTCAATTCTTTCCTAAGTTTACTTAAGGCTTGTGTATTAGATAGTGCAGCCACATTCCGTTGCCCCTAGCTGGATATAATGTATTGAACGTAACATCTACAGGTGCGTGTCAGACCAAGTTATTGTGTCCATTTTTCTTTTCTGCAGATTGTGTAAATTTGTTCTATCTATAAGGCACAGGTCAATCCGTGAATATGAGTATACTGCAGACAAATGCGTGTAGTCCTTGGTGGTGGGATTGAGCATACGCCAGGTGTCGTGCAAGTCATATTTTCCTAACAGTGCGGTCTGTTGTCTGCCCATTCTATTGTTCCTTCTGCTGACCTGAGATTTGCTGTGCAGATCAAGTGAGGGGTCAATAACACAGTTAAAGCCCCCGCATAGGATTATTTTTTTTGATTCTATTCAATTTACCTAGTAAATCTGGTTGGGGACATAAATATTTGCAATCTTATCTGTATGTCGTTTAGAGTAACAACACGAATTAGTGTCCTGCCTACCCCATCTTTATATTCCTTTTCACACCAAAACGCCTAATCTCTATGGATCAGTATGCTGACATCCCTAGTCTTATTGGGCGTGTACATGGGATATACCTGTGGATATCCCCTGGAAGAAAATGTTGGTGGATTTTTGTCACAGAAATGTGTTTCTTGAAAGCACGCTATAGTTATATGTTTAGCTTTTATGTGAGCCAATGCTAGCCGTTTGTGTGGGGTATTCAATCCATTGACGTTAAGAGTTAGGGATGAAAAGTACAAGTCATCTTACATCATGAGGAGGTGTGTTGTGGTCCCGCTGCGGGAGTCCCGGACCCTGTATAAAGAATGGGTGCATGTTCTTATAGTTTTTCCATTCCCGAATCATACAATGAAGTTACATCTATAACCGAAAACAAAACTGTAACTAAGGTATATAGATAAACATCCTAAAGATGAAATTCTGATTAGGTCATTACTAACAATTGATTTTATTCTCACGTTATCAACTTGTCCATAGGCTATCAACCTAGTTTGTGGGGGGTGGGGGTATAGTTGGATCTGAACCAACCTAACGACTGGCATCGACCTTATTTGGTGTGTGTGAGCCATATCCCTCTCAATTATCGATCTGTGAATCAATAATGACCCCTTGCATTTCTTCTCTCCGTGCGTGGGCTGTCTGTCCCAACTGAACCTATTTCTATTTAAAAAAAAAAAAAATTGTAATAATATTTGTAACATGACTCTCTCTTGTCCCCTACTATCTTTAAGCCTTAATGCCTTACCCCGTCTCCAAAAGTTTTGTTTAAAACATTTTTTTGGAGTAGTGGGATTGTATGGCCCTTTGAATGGTCTACTCCCCTCACCCCAGCCTCAGTATAGGGAAGGTACTGGGCACCTTCCACCTCCCCCTGCCTCCCCAAGCCAAGAGTGCAAAGAAACCAAACCATGACATAGTTTGACATACAATTATTTCTCTACTTGCTTCTCATGTCGCTGCGTGATTTTATCAGCAGATGCGGTTTCCACACCAGTCCTGTATGGAAAACAGTTCTTAGTGGGTGTGATAAAGTCCAACATAGGTTACTTCTTCCCGGAGACCTTGTTCCATTCCAGGTTCAGTCTTCTAGGGTATATTGATTACCCCTCCGGGTTAGAGTCCTTCAGAAGTCCACGTTTTCTCATTAGCTTGATCACGTCATCCGGATTCTCCACTACTGTTAGAGCCCCATTTTTCCAGCTTTGGTGGAAAACCCCATCTGTAGGGGATCTTGTTGTTTTAGTATTTTCGTGGTGTTGATAAATTCTCTCCGCTTGGCCATCGTGGTGGCAGAAAGATCTATGAACAACGAGATACCACCCAGGTGTTCCGGTAGGTCAAGTGCTCTCCTGTGGGCTTGGAGGATTGCCTCTTTGATATGGAAATAGTGAAGTTTCACCATGATATCCCTCAGGGTGTCCACAGCCAGGCTATGTGATTTAGACACTCTATGTGCCCTGTCCATCAACAGGTCTGCGTCTGTAGCCGTGGGTAAGAGGAATTTGAACAAACTCAGTAGGTGCTGTGCTCTAATGTTATTCCGCCGTGAGTGGTCTTCCATGTCGGTGAGTTTGCCTACCCAGGTAAGGTGCTATGTCTCCATTTTAGGCATTCTGTTGAGCATTTCATTGTGAGTTATGCACAGCTCGTCTGTTTAACTACTAGGGCTTCTGCTCTTGTTCCGAACCCATGGAGGTCTTTGGAGGTTCTGTTATTATTTTGTAATCCTCCCTTAAGGACGAACGCAGATTTTGTAGTATGTCTGCCAGCCTTCTTTCTGTGACCAGGGGATAATCCCTTTGCAGGCTTAGTGGCTCCACATCCGGGTCTGCCTTAGACAGATATTCGCGAGGAAGCACCGTCGCCATCTTGGGTATGCCTCAGTTTTTCTTTTTTGCTGGGTCGTAACATATCTTATGCCCTTGGGGTCTTGGGTGGTGCCATTGTGTGCTCCTGCATTTCATGTGCCTTCAGATCCTACAATTGCTGCTGGAGCTGAGAAGGATGCTTTATTTGGCTGTTATTGCCTCGGAGCTAGCCCGCCATGCAACCTTTCTGCAGCGCCGGAAGTCCTGCCCCCCTGCTTTTTACATTTTAATGTTTGGGACGTGTCAAATATAGTATCCGCCCCAAGTGCCAAATGCTCCAGGTATGCCCCTGCCATCATGTGACATGGAAGTGCATGGGAAAGCATTCCTATGGCTGAGGAGGCCATGCCCCCTTAGTGACATTGCTGGAGGTTAGAGAGGTGAGCAGCGCAAAGGGAGTCTCATCGCTAGAAAAAGGTAGGCAAAACAGGGGAACTATAGCATTGGGAATACAGGTTTGTATATTCCTAATGCTGTAGTGCTCCATTAATGATTTTTTCTTTTCTTCAAATTTCTTTTTCTTTTTTTGACATGAGAGCAAGCATAACATTCAATCAATAAAGAAATCTCTCCTACAGGGCAAACCGAAGCATAAAGGTAACATCTAAAAAAAAAAAAAAGCAAACTGAGGCCATAAATATCTTTTAAGAAAAAGCTAGGCTAGATAAAAATCAGTAAATGGACTCTAAAGCCTAATTGATTTGCATTCTACATTACTCTGCATTACAGTATTTTAATATAAATCGCTGTATGACGTGTTAATGCCAAATTTAAAAGTGTCTGTCAGAGGCATGATACCATAATAAAGAACAAGTAAACAATTTAATAAAGAAAAATATGCAAAAGTAATATTGAGTGACAATTTAAATCAATAAAACTATATATGATAAATTATAACAAAATGAGCCATGAGAACATGCAGGAAATGATTGACTAATGTTATAATACCTAAATTAATATAAATATCGCATAACACATACATTTCCCTGTCTTATAAATGGTAATATAATGCAATGTATTAGTGTCCTATGAGATTAATTAAGTTACATTTCACTGCACACAGTAAACGAGCTGTGACATGCGGCAAATGCTTGGTGAAAGTTTCCTTTTCCAACCTTCTGATACCATCAATGCTCCGAGGAATTTGTGGAAAAAGGATATCCAATAAAACAGATGTAAATTAATTGCTTTTTAAAGGACTGGATAATATTTCTAGCCACCAATCATTTGTCTTAGATTTTCATTGTATTTATTAATCTGAAGATGCTTTAAAATGACTGAAAATATGGGTCGGAAATTCATTTATGAAAATATGGGTCGGAAACCCACTGAAAATAGTAGAGATCAATTTTCTTCCATTGCTTATTAAAATGAACAAACTCCTAAAGGGTTGGAAGAATTTAGAATTTTTGTGGTGGGGTCCTATTAATATTATTAAGTCTTACATCTTACCAAAATGGTTATATTTGTTTAGAATGATCCCTCTGAGTGTCCCTGACAGTTGGCTGCTATTAATACAACAGGCCTGGTCTAAGTTCATATGGCAAGCAAAAAAACCTAGAATGGCAAGAAAACTCCTCTCGATCAATCAATCTAAGGGAGGGGTAGGATACCCACTTATACAACAATACCACAAAGCGAGTATCCTTTTCCATAGTATCATTTCACAATTGGCTGGGGCTAAGCTAGAAAAGTGGTACGCTGTGGAAAAAGAACTTGCAGAAGGTAGGGAGCTAGTACCATTTTTTTGGTTTACTCAAGAAGGAGACACAAATAAGACCCAACCAAGCTCTGCTAGTGTGGTAATTGAATCCATTAGAGGAATGTGGAGAAAGATTAAAAAAAGTGCAGGATTTAAAAATCACATTATTAATACCCTACCGATCTCAATATTGGAAAATAATATGCAAGACCTAAGACTAAATAATTGGAGAAGAGCAGGTATACAAACCATAGAAGATATAACAACAGGACCCTGGATTAATCCGTTTGAACAAATATGCACTAATTTCAGTCTTCCCGAAACTGAGAAATTTAATTACATGAGGATTAAAAGCTATATGAATAAAACTTTAAATAAAGAGAAATGCGAATTTAACAATAAACTAGGAAATTTACTGAAAGGAAAGGACATGAAAAATTTACTAAATAAGTGTAATTCGGTATTGAGACAACTAGAGGGTGACCTCAAGTCTCCAGCGATAAAAAAATGGGAGGAAGATCTAAAAATACAAAAAAATCGACGGTCAAGAGTGGAATACAGCATGGCTGACAGTTGCTAGGCGCATTAAATGCCTAAATTTAGTGGAACTACATTTTAAGATTATTAACAGACTCTATTTGGTCCCTAGCCGTCTAAATAAAATAGACCAGAGTAAAACAGATACATGCTGGAGATGTGAAGGGGGAGTGGGAGATTGTCTACATATTTGGTGGAGTTGCCCCCCACTTAAAGAATTTTGGAAAATGTTTTTGTTTAAAATAGAAATGGTAACCGGATTTAATTTTCCCCTTGCCCCGGAAATGTGCATATTACAGTTAAATATTTATCAGTATAATGTGGATTTGCAATATTTTCTTTCTCATGCATTAATAGCAGCAAAACTCTCCATAGCTAAAAGGTGGAGAACTAAAACTCTACCAAACTGGGATATAGTAAAATACCTATTAATTTCGCAACTTAGGATGGAGGGAGGTCTGAACAGAAATTTGAAGGAAAAAAATTTATTTCACATAAATAAGTGGCTAGAAAAACTGTTGGCAGTAGACTAATATACATAGAAAAAGAAGGGAAGGAAGAAAGAAAGAGAGAAAATAAAGGGAGAGAAAAAGAAGAGAAAGGAAAAGGGAAAGAAAGGAAGGGAAAAGAAAAGGAAAGAAAGGAGAAAAGAAAAGAGAAGTGCTAGCTCATAAATTAGTACTATGAATAGTAACGCAGAGAGACGAGGGAAGAGGGTTCCATCATCATGTATGAATGTTGTGTATGGCTATTTCATGTTTGTTTGTTTTTTGATTAATAATAATGTTTTTTCTATAAATTAAAGTCATTTAATAGGAAAAAGAGAAGAGAGAAAACATTGATGATGACTAATATACCAAGCCTGAGATGCAAAGTAGGAAAGAACATAAGAGGCTGGTAATGTCTGAAATAAAAAAAAATAAAAATGACTGAAATAGTATAGATAATAGTTCAGATGATTTTAAAACGTAGAAAAAAAAGGGTAAATAAAAAAGGTAACAGAAAAGAAAAATTATATGGATGTTGCATAAATGGTATTACAAAAGAAAATGATAAAGGAAAAAATAGGTAAAGAACAATGGGACATTCTGCACAGAAATAGATTAAGATGTAAATATATGTGAATCGATCGATTTATTTATTTATTTTAAAGAGGAGGAGATCTGTAAGATGAATAATCGGTTTATGTGAACAATACTTAACAGGAAGTCACTAAATACAATGTAAATAGACAAACGCTCATAAAAATGCCCTACAGATGATATGGTTCTATCAGGAATAGCACAATAAATGCCCTCAAACCCATCTCTGCTGAAGATGGTGCTGTGAATATGGCATTGGTACATATATGGTGTCACTGTCCATTGCATCAACCATTATATATATATTTTTTCAATTTAGTTTACCCAGCTGGTTTAGTTCTGCTAACCAATTGAAAATGCAAAATAAAAAACAAAATTTGTTTATTTCATTTGCACTTCAATGTTGTACTTAAAATTGTAGTGAATCAAATTTTGTCTGGTAGGTCTCTCTCTGCCTCATTAAATGGGACTGTAGTATGGGATTGTCCACTCTAACTTGCCCTGTAGGGGAACCTAAGACTACCTGACATTTGCACAGTTGTTATTCGGCATGTGCTACCCCTTACACTTAAATAAAACACTGACACCGATAATTCTGTTGGAGTATAAAGTCCACAGCTTTATTAATTAATTATAATAAATTAACATAATCTAGGGTCATTGTCCTACTAGACATTATGTTACTATACCCCCACACAGTACCCCTGACAATGACCCTAGCAATTAAACAATAAATAACAACAAATAACATAACTTGAAACACACGGCCTACCAAAGAGGCCCCATATCGTCCAGTTAACTGTAGGGGTATACCTCGGACACCCCTACACCCCCAGGTTTGTAGCCACCGAAGAGCTAGAACCAACCAATCCTTAACTCCATCCGGCCTAAACCTCGGCCTGTCCAGTTCAAATTCCACGCAAGTTCCAATATATACACTGCCCTGTTCCGCCGCTGTGACCAAGCGGAACTGCAATCTAGGGAGGGTGGGTGGGACAATCTACAGGTAAGAGAGGCTCCAGTTCAAATGGCCCCTATTCTAATATGGCTGCTCTTTATATCCCTACTCTCCACCCCCCAAAACATCACTCCCAAAACCCGGCCCACAATCCTAAGCCCATGCCCACTCCCTGGCTCTGTCAAGGCCCACTCCCCACACTGCGTTGCTCCATGGGCTACCTGACATTTGCACAGTCGTTATTCGGCATGTGCTACCCCTTACACTTAAATAAAACACTGACACCGATAATTCTGTTGGAGTATAAAGTCCACAGCTTTATTAATTAATTATAATAAATTAACATAATCTAGGGTCATTGTCCTACTAGACATTATGTTACTATACCCCCACACAGTACCCCTGACAATGACCCTAGCAATTAAACAATAAATAACAACAAATAACATAACTTGAAACACACGGCCTACCAAAGAGGCCCCATATCGTCCAGTTAACTGTAGGGGTATACCTCGGACACCCCTACACCCCCAGGTTCGTAGCCACCGAAGAGCTAGAACCAACCAATCCTTAACTCCATCCGGCCTAAACCTCGGCCTGTCCAGTTCAAATTCCACGCAAGTTCCAATATATACACCGCCCTGTTCCGCCACAGCACATGGCTTGACCCCCTTAAGCTAATGTGCGACCCCCACCATATCTAAACAGGGCCTGTGCTATA